AGTACAAAAAAGGAAGTTTATTGCAATAAATGCCTACATAAAAAGAATAGAAAGACTTCAAATAAACAACCTAACATAAGACTTCAAAAAATAGAGAAACAAGAACAAAATTAGCAAATGGAAGGAAATGATAATGACTAGAGCAGAAATAAACTAAATGGAGACCAAAATAAGATACAAAAAATAAAAAAAAAATAGCTGGTTTTTTGAGAAGGTAAAGAAATAGATAAATCATTAGCTAAACTAACTAAAAAAAGAAGAAAGAAGACCCAAGTAACAAATATCAGAAATGAAAAAGGAGCAATTACAACAGAGTCCACAGAAATACAAAGAATCATTACAGACTATGATGAACAACTATAAAACCAACAAATTTGAAAACCTGAAGGAAATGAATAAATTTCTGGAAATATTCAAACTACCAAGAATAAATAGAAAATCTGAACAGACCAATAATGAGCAGCAAAGATTGAAGCTTTAATCAACAGTTTCCCAATAAAGAAAAGCCCACTACTGGTGGCTTCTCTGCTGAATTCTACCAAACCTTTAAAGAAGGATTAATACCAATCCTTTTCAAACTATTCCAAAAAAACAAAAGAGGTCTTTCTCCCAAACTCATTGTATGAGGCCAGCATCATCATCCTGATACACAAGCAGACAAAGATACAATGTAAAAGAAAACTATAGGCCAACATCCTTGATGAACATAGATGCAAAAATTCCCCCCAAAATGTTAGCAATCAGAATTTAACAACACATCAAAAAGATTATACACCATGATCAAGTGGGATTCATCCAAGGGATGCAAAGATGGTTCGATATACATAAATCAATAAATGTAACACACCACCTAAACAAAATCAAGGACAAAGACTACATGATCATCTCAATATATGCAGGAAAAGCATTTGACAAAATTCAACATTACTTCATGATTAAAAACTCTCAATAAATTAGATATAGAAGGATAGTATCTTGGCGCAATGAAAGCCATACATTACAAACCCGCCAGGAACATTATCCTGAATGAACAAGAACAATACAAGGATGCTCACTCTCAACACTCCTACTTAACATAGTATTGGAAGTTTTAGCAAGAGGAATCAGGCAAAAGAAAGAAAGAAAGGGCATCCAAATTGGAAAAGATGAAGTCAGATTGTCCCTGTTTGCAAATGACATAAACCTATATATAGAAAAATCTAAAGACTCCACCATAAAACTCCTGGAGCTGAAAAACAAAATTCAGGAAAGTTGCAGAATACAAAATCAATATACAAAATTCAATAGCATTCCTATACACCAACAATGATCTAGCAGAAAAAGAAATCAAGAAAATGAGCTCATTTATAATAGCTACCAAAGCAGTAAAATACCTAGGATTTATTTTAACCAAAAAAGTGAAAGATATTTGCAATGACAACTACAAAACACTGATGAAAGAAATAAAAGAGGACACTAAAAGATGGAAAGACATCCTATGCTCATGGATTGGAAGAATTAACATCAAAATTTCCATACTACCCAAAGCAATCTAAAGATTCAACGCAATCCTCATCAAAATACCATGACATTCTTTACAGAAATAGAAAAAACAATCCTAATATTCATATGGAACAACAAAAGACCCCAAATAGCCAAATCAATCCTGAGCAAAAGAAAATAAAGCCAGAGGCATCACACTACTTGACTTCAAATTATACTACAAAGCTATATTAATCAAAACAGCATGGTAATGGCATATAAACAGACACACAGACCAATGGAACAGAATAGAGAAAACAGAAAGTAACCCACATACTTACAGCCAACTGATCTTTGACAAAGGTGCCAAAAACATACATCAGGGAAAGGACAGCCTGCTCGATAAATGGTGCTGGGCAAAGCAGATATCCATGTGGAGAAGAATGAAAATAGAACCTAATCTCTAGCCTTGTGCCAAAATCAACTGAAATTGGATTAAAGACTTAAATATAAGACCTGAAACTATAAAACTCCTAGAAGAAAAAACAGGAAAACAATTCAGGATGTAAGACTGGGCAAAGACTTTATGAATAAGAACTCAAAAACACTGGCAACAAATGAAAAAATAAATGGGATTATATCAAACTAAAAAGCTATGCATCCAACAAGTGATTAATGTCCAGAATATATTAAGGAACTGAAACAACTTAATACTAGAATCAAAATCTGATTTTAAAAATGGGCAAAGGAGTTGAATAGGTATTTCTCAAAAGAAGACATACAAAAGGCCAGCAGATACATGAAAAAATTCTCAACATCACTAATTATCAGGAAAATGTAAATAAAAACTACACTGAAATATTATCTCACCCCAGTTAGATTGGCTATTATCAAAAAGGCAGTGAGTAACAAATTCTGGCAAGGATATGGAGAAAGGGGAACCCTCCAACACTATTGGTGGGACTGTAAATTAGTGCGGGCATTACACAAAACAGTATGAAATTTTCTCAGACAACTACAGATAGAACTATCATAAAATCCAGCAACCCCACTACTGGGCATATATCTAACAGGATGGAAATCATCATGTTGAGGAGATACTTGTACTCCTATGTTTATCGAAGCTCTGTTTATAATAGCCAAGAGTTGGAAACAATTTAAATGTCCATCAATGGATGACTGGATAAGGAAAATGTGGTACATATACACAATGGAATACTACTCAGACATAAAAAAGAATGAAAAGTTGCCATTTGCAGCAGCATGGATGAACTTGGAAAAAATTATGTTAAGTGAAATAAGCCAGGCACAGAAAGAGGAATACCACATGTCCTCACTCATAAGTGGGAGCTAAAAAGAAAGGAATGAAAGAAGAAAGGAAGGAAGGACAAACACAATAATACATTGAATTTTCAAAGGGAGAGAACAGAACTGTGGTTATTAGAGGAAAAGTGGAGAGGAAAGGAGTTTAGGGAAAAATTCGTTAATGGACACAAAGAATGAATACATTTCACAATGATGAATATGCCAAATATCCTGATCTCATCATCACATACTGAACTCACACTCATAGTCAACTCTGTACCCCCCAAATACGTATAATCAATTGTGGGTTTTGTCAATAAAAAAGAAAGAAAAAAAAACAGTCATTAATAGGACTGGATAAGGGAAATGTGGTATATGTACACAATGCAATACTACTCAGCCATTAAAAAAAAGAAATTCTACCATTTGCTGCAATGAAAAAAAATCATTGGGATTTTAATCGGGATTGCATTGAATCTGTAGATCACTCTCCAGTAACTTTTCTATTAGCTTACACCAGCACTTAAAAAACCTCCACCTTTTCTTTCAGGAGAGTTGGTATCCAGACTTGGTCTGTGCTCTCCCCTACTGCTGGCAATAGTATCAGAATACAACTGATTTCTTTTTTCTCCTCTCGTCCAGAGCAGTTTTTCTTTAACAGGGAACATCTTTGCCTGTTCCTTATCTTAGGAGAAAAGTGTCTAGTCTCTCACCATTAAATTGGATGTTAGGCGTAAGTTTTTTGTAAATGTTCTTTTTCAAGCTAGGGTAGCTCCCCTTCTATCCTGATTTGCTGAATTTGTTCTGTTTTGTTTTATTTACCATGAATTGGTGTTGGATTTTGTCAAGTGCTTTTTCTTTTCTTTTGTTTTTAGCTTTCTAAAAATTTATTATTTTTTTATTGTTGTAAAAATACACATAATATAAAATAACTCTCCATTTCCCACTTCCCTGGGCCTCTGCCAATCAATATTCTATTTTCTGTATGTTTCTGATTACTCTGACTACTTCATATAAGTGTAGTCATACAGTATTTGTCTTTTTATTTTTTTGTAAAAATTTTATTTCAGTATTTGTCTTTTTTTTTTTTTCCTTTTTGTCTTTTTTTGTGACCGGTAATGGGATCACAACCCTCGGTGTCGCGTCTGCACTGCGACCGGCAATGGGGTTGCAACCCTCGGTGTTGCGCCCGCACTGTGCTCAACCAGTGAGCGGACCGGTCTCTACACGGGATCCGAACCCTCGGCGGGAGCGCCGCAGCACTCCCAAGTGCCACACTCTACCGAGTGCGCCACTGGACCGGCCCATAGTATTTGTCTTTTTTTGACTGAGATTTCATTTAGCATAATGTCCTCAAACTTCATCCATGTTGTAGCATGTGTCAGAATTTCCTCATTTTTTAAGGCTGAATAATATTTTATTGTATGTATTTACCACATCTCTCTCTCTCTTTCTCTCTCTCTCTCTCTCTCTCTCTCTAGCAGCTGGCTGGTAGGGGGACACCACATTTTTCTTACCCATATATCTGTCGATGAACACTTGGGTTGCTTCCATGTTTTAATATTACGTGAATAATATTAATGTGAATAATGCTGCTATGAACATGCAAGTACAAATATCTCATTGAGACTCTGTTTTCAATGCTTTTGTTATATATCCAGAAGTGTGATTGCTATAATATATGGTAATTCTATTTTTAATTTTTTGAGAAATTGCCTTACTATTTTCACTATGGCTATACCATTTTACATTCCTACAAACAATGTACAAGTGATCCAATTTCTCCATATCCTTGCTAAAATTTATTATTTTCTGTTTATTTGATAGTAGGCATCCTAATGGGTGTGAGGAGGTATCTCATTGTAGTTTTGGTTTGCATTTCTCTAATGATTAGTGATGTTCACTATCTTTTCATGTATTTATAGGCCATTTGTATATCTTTTTTGCAGAAATGCCTATCCTAAAGTCCTTTGCTCATTTTTGAATTTGGTTGTTTGTTTTTTATTGTTCAGTTTTAGGAATTCTCTATATATTCTGAATATCAATGCCTTATCAGACATATGATTTGCAAATATTTTCTCCCATTCTGTGTGTTGTCTTTTTACTCTGTTAATATCATCTCCTGATGAACAAAAGTTTTAAATTTTCATGCAGTCCAATTTGCCTATTTTTTATTTTGTTGAGCATCTAGAGATCAAACGGAATTTTTCTGCCCTGTAATCTAAGCTCTATACCTGGGGCCCCAGCAGGTTTAGGTATAGATGGCAGGTGTCTGCACAAAGATAGGTGGCTGAGTCACTGGGCTGGGAGTCTCTGATGAGCAGGGAGACATATAGGCTGGCTTTATTGAGCTGCACTGTAAATCTTCCTTCTTTGTCACCATTGGAGTATGAGGACATCACCACCTCGGGGCCTTTCCCACAATACTGCATGTACCACAGTAAGGACTGAGAAGCACGGTCACTGTAAGCACACACAATTGAGAGGGGCAGTGGCTCGCTCTGGAACACTGAGGGATTCAGGATTCTGCTCCACCTCCTTTTGTTGGCTCCTCACACCTGTGCAAAAAGATACGGTTAGACAAAGAAGATTAGATGGGTAGAGGATTCTTATTCTCCAGAATTTAATTGTCTTTTCGTAGGCCTCACACCCTCATTTACTTACAGGGAAAAAACATTCACGTTTCTACCCAAGGGCCTAGAATAGACAGTAACTCCAAATACTGTACTTTAAGTTCCCACAGAGTTGCCCAAAACTCACAGCTTAATTGAAACCACAGGATCACTAGTAAAACTCTCAAGGATTTCTTCATTCTTTTCTCTTCTGGTTCACTGAGGATTCAGATTTTACAGTCTTAAAAAATGAGTTGAGTTCAGATGCTTTTAATTCTTCTGCATTAAGGAACATAAAAGAATCTGTTCTACAATTGGAAAAAAAGGTTCTTTTCACCAGCCCTGCTACTCTGCCAAGCCCCTCATTGTATCTCTCTCTCTCTCTGTCTCTGTCTCTCTTTCTGTTACATACACACACGTGCACACGCACACACATAGACACAGAGGAACCCTTGAGATCTTTCCTCAGGGTCCCTGAGAAGACACTGCCTTCATGTGTACTCATGATAGTGATTGAAGAAATATTCAAAATTTCTTCATGTTATGTAAACCAACCTAAATGTCCATCAGCAGACAACTGGATAAGGAAAATGTGGTAGATATACATGATTGAACACTACTCTGCCATAAAAGGAATGAAATTCTGCCATTCGCAGTAACATTGATGAACATAGAGAAAATTATTTTAAGTGAAATAAGCCAGGCACAGAAAGAGAAATGCCACATGGCCTCACTCATAAGTGGGAACTAAAAAAAATTTTAAAAGAAAGAAAGATACAACAATCACAATGTTTCTATGAACTTTCAAAAGTAGAAAACAGAACTGAGCATACTAGAGGAGGGGGTAAGGGGGCATGGTTAGTGAGAAATTGAAAAAGGGTCACAAAAAATGATTACATAGTGTGATGATAAATATAGTAATTATACTGATTTGAACATTACATATTGCCCTCAGGTATTGATATTCAATGCTGTGCTGCACAGATATGTACAATTATGTTTCAATTAAAAAAAGAAAAGAAAAAAAACATACCTCTGTCAAAAGAGTGCTTACTTGGGTTGGTGCAATAGAGGTGAAACTGCCTCCAGCACCTAGACTCTAAATAAAACCCAATGCACCTGTTTATTTGTCTAACTCTCTTACTTCCTTCTCTTATATAAAGCCCTGATATCTATGGATTTGGTCTCTCTCTCTGCCTTTCCATCCTAACCTTACAAGCAAACCAGATCTATCACAGGGCTATCTATGCAAGAAGCTTAATTGGGTCTATGGAGAAACAAGCACAGCGAGCCACTGTTCCTCCTCTGTCCCACAGCCTGCTTCGTGTCCTGCAGGCGCTGGTGACAAGAGGCCAGCAAGAAACAGTTTCTACTCAAAAGCCAGGTAATCAGCATCCACCAAGATGGCCTGGCCAAACCCTTCCCATTTCTACCAACAACATCCTAGGACATAGAATGTGGGAGGAGATGCTAATACTGAAATCTTTTGTCCAAGAGTACACTGCACTTGATAGAAATCATAACAGACATTTCTCAGTAAATGTGAAAACCAAAGGAGGAGGGACAGCAACAAAATTTGACGGCCACCACAGCCTTGGGAAACTTATGAAAACCAAACATAAGGCCTTAAAAATAGGTGAGCCTGAAGCACCATCTTTATAAGACACACTTCCATTTGTCATATTTGTAACAAAAAACGTATAAATGGGTTAATAAATCTAATGTGGTGGTGGAGCCCAGAGCCATATTAGTGCTAGCAAAGTGACAGAGTTCATATAGCATCAAAGTCATCCTGCGAAAACTTCTGTGCCCAATAATGTCTAAAGGATATATGAACCAACACCCCCATCCCCCACAAATGCCTGAAGAACAGTGTTCTGGCAATCAACCAAAGAGGAAAATTACAGTCTCTCACCCATTTGTTTTAACCAGTCTCCATTTTAAACACTGATACACTTTCTGGATATCTCTTGTAACCCTCAAAGCACTAGAAAGCAAGTTCCCATTCAAAATCAATTTTCCTTAAGATATATGCTACTGTAAATGGTACTAATTTTGTGTTCATTTGAAATATGTAAGTTGTACTATTAAAAACAATAATAACAATAGAAGAGATCTTTCTTTATACATGTGGAAACACACACATTTTTACCCATTGTGTTCCCATTAACATACATGTATAATTATTGTTTATGCACTTTTCTTTTAAATCATGTGAGAGAAAAGAGGAGATTAAAACTAAAAATATAAAAATATTGACCTCATATTTATTTCTGTAGTTACCTTTACGTTCTGTATTATTTTTGTGTGGCTTCAAGTTACCGTCTAGCGCCATTTAATTTCAGCCTGATTTCTTCTACGGATGTGATAAACACCCTCATGTTTTGTTTATTTTGAAATGTCTTAATTTCTTCCTTACTGTTTGAAAAACAGTTTTTCTAGATATATAATTATTGGTTGACAGTCTATTTCCCTCACCACTTTAAATATGTCATCTCATTGCCTTCAACTTCCATGGTTTCTGATG